CAATATCCTTTACCTCCTTCCTCTTTACTTCCTTTATTTGTTTCATTCATTCTCAAAAATGTATATTACTTTCAGATTGGCGTGGGATATACTGTTTTAAATGGCTTTTCTAATAGTCTTGGTATTTAGCCATGTATCAGGCACGGCATCGCGAAGTGTTCTGTATGCCGGAGTCTTCTGAGCTTTGGTTGGCCGTCTTCCTCTTACCTTATGCCATATCACTTTCTAAAGTTTGTGCAGTCTACAGGCACTTCGATAACATCCCAAAACATGCTCAAACTGTCATAGATGAAACTTCTCATTTAGCAAAAATCGGCTCATGAGCAATGATATCTTGAATTTTCAAATTGTGAATCTTGTCGAGCCTGGCACAGCAGTACTGTATGTGCCAGTAAATATTAATTGAACGTTATGATAGTATAATTTACTTTTCACACAATTTTCACCTGATTTGCGTATTTTAACTTTCCCCAGTAGTCTTTTTGGATTCCGTCAATTGGCCATGGCGTTTTTGGAAAAGAGGCTGTGTATTTTTGAATTAAAGCAAAAGTAAAAAATCTGGTCAAATAGATGCTGCTTATGTTTTCCATGCATAAACAGTTCAGCAAGATTCAGGGCTGTCTATAAAAGACAAGTGATAGTGTCAGTCACATAGTGAAGAATCTCACCTCGTCCCTTTCCGTTACTTTAAGAATGTTGCGCTTTGGTATTTTTAAAATAATCATGCCCTCGATTTACTTAATCTGTTTAATACAAGTTGTTTTAGGAGAATGTGATGTCATCGCTTCATGTTCTAAGGCGTCAGAAAATTTTCTCATCAGAGGATTAGATATAAAGGAAGAACCGTATATGGACGATCGCAAGTGCGTTACTCCAAATTACTCAGAACGCTTCGGGGCTTCCATCAGAGGTCCGGGATCCGCGGATTCGCTGACCATGCCTAATTATTCTGAGATGGATTATCATCAACAACAGGGTAAAGCTTCTGGTCCTATGTTTTCTCAGAGTCACGTGTCTGTGTTCGACGAATTTCTCCCCGGGGATGGTAAGGAATGGGTAAATCGGGTAAACGTGCATCAACAGCAGCAAGTTGCGTCCGGTTATTCAACCTCAGATCAGTGGACAGCTTCAGGAACGGCGAGCATCGTCGCTCAACAGCCGAACTACTCGTCTGGGACAAACGTGACGGCTTTAGCTGCGCGAATCCCGGTTGCGCAGACCAGGTTGCCAGTTCATCATTCTTGCCCAGGTGCACTTTCCCCGTCTCCTACATACAAAGATCAGTACAGGGAAGACTGGTTGTTAAAAAATCAACTGAGTTTGGAAAACCAGCAGAAGGCGCTCGAGACGGAACTAATACAGTTACGCAGAACGAAAAAGAATACCGGTTCGAAACAACGACAGATGAGAAAGAACGGATTGGAGCCGCCCGAAGCCGACCAGCTGGCATTTACGCGCCTTTCTCAGGAGATCAGCGAACGCCAGAAGCTGTTGGATCATGTGAAGAAGCAGCTGAAACAGCACAGCTTGCTAATGCAAGACTACCAGACGAAGAGGAACGCCGCGACCGCCATCGAGAACTCACGGATTGTTCAGAACGTAATCAGCGGTGGTCAGCCGGTAGTGGTCGCTTCCTCGTCGACATCCGCCGACTTGTTGGCCGGCTCAGCTGCTACCGTATACAAGTTTCCCTACTGTGCAGCTTCTTCGACGGCGGTAGCGGCGAACACGCCGCCGGATTTCGGTCGCTGTGGTAAGCGTTACAGTGTTTGCTTCATTTTTCTCGTGAACGCTAGCTAGTCCTGTTACGCATATTACAGGCGTCGTCACGGAGCAGTTTGCACCCACTCCTCCACAGTACCGATTCACCTCAGCCGAACGAAGCGCTTCGGTGGTCGCGGCCTCCCCGTCGCCTTTGATGCCCCCTGCCTCACCGCTGATCGTTGGTACCCGCAATTTTCCGTGCCAGAAGAGCCACTCAGCCGACAACGTCCACCAGTACGCGGGTACTCCGCCTTCTGACTATGCTTTCGCCTCAGCGGTCGATCCGTCGTCGTCCCTCGACAGGAACGTTGTCCGTCTTAACGCTGCCGCTGTTGTTTCGTCGATTCCTCCTGGATCAGCGTCGGCAACTTCTAATGCCGGTGTCATGCAGTCTCCGGCAGCGGGTTCATCCACCACCGTCGTATTTCCGTCGTCCGACCTAGCAGCCGCGTGTCGCACGCTTTCCGCCGCTTGTTTCCACCCGGATCTTTC